GTTTTAAAAATAGTAAGCAGCACTCATCTTAGCCACCCAGAACCACTGTCTAGTGATAAAGGGCTGATAGAAGACATGACCAGTGTAGCCTCCAGCTCAAAGTAGGAAGCCACAGATAAGAACAACCATCATGAGTTTCTAATCCCATTTTCTGCATGGGGAGCAGAAATGTTTCTTTCTCCCCCACTTCTCCCTACTTTATCTTGTTACACTAAAGTAAATTCATGCCAAAACTTCCACCTTATAAGACTCCTTGTTGTAAAGCACTTTGAAATGTTTTTCACCTGTGCATCTCAAGTTCCAGCAATGTTCTCTAAAACCTGGGAATCCAAGGGAACCCCTCATCCCTCATCTGGTGACATTACCATTATCCTAGTCCATTAGCTTTGTAACTTAAGAGTACACCAGAATCACTTGGACAGTTTGCTGGGTCCAGTAGATTTATGATTCAGTAGGTCTCCCGTGTGACTCACTAATTTGCATTTCTAATAAGTTCCCTGGTAAGTCTGGGTGGAATTGATGCTACTAGTCCAGAGGCCACACTGTAAAAAACCCCTGTTTTCAAGCATCAATTTGCAGGTTCCAACTTCAGTATGTATGAATTGTATCTAGGAGGTAACTGGAATCAGATGGTCTTTTCATAGTCACTGTTTCCCCACGATGGGGCACTGCCCTACGATGATGCTGAATAAGAAAGTAATTGTAAAATCTTCTATGGGAGAGAGATCCTATAAGATCAAGTAAGGAAGTAATGATGGGAAGTGGTCTTTGAGGGCTGTCAATATTATGTTTCTTCACTTGAGTGCAGATCACGAGTGTGTGCAGTGAGTGAAAATTCATTGATCTGTACACTTTTCTGTAGGTATGTTATGTTCCTGTCACTAGCAAGTGTCCTCAGAAGACCCTCGTCGAGATCTCAGGTCCTTGGAGTCTCAAACAAAGAACTGGATGGAGATACACAGATTGCAAAGAAGCAGCAGAGTTTTGCTGAAGGTGAAAGCAGGAAAACACATTCCTCAAGGAAGGGGGAGAGAAACAGGCTCTGAGTGCAAAGCAGCACTTATAGCTTGAGGGCACCAGTGCCTTGGTTTGGATGGGGTGAGCAAAGGGAAGAGAGTTGGGCGATACTCAGAGTGGTTTTGGTGATTGACAGTTCATGTGATTTCAGTGAGCTATAATTAGGGGCCTTTGTGAGCATGCCCAGTTTAGGTCCAGATGAAAATGCTATTTCAAAAGGGACATTTTGGGGGCAGTTCTGGGTGGAGCTAGATCAACCTGTTCCCCTGAGATGATGTGCAAAGAGGCCACCTGTTTCCCATGACCTGGCTGGAGTACTTTCCCTAAATTTTCTGCCTCCCATAAAACATCTTTTCAAAAGAGAAGAGACAATCAGAACCAAAACACTGCTGCTGTGATGTCTTGTCTCAGTGAGACCTCAAGCTTCTTGGTTAGGCTGTAGCTTTTCTAGCTGTCTACCTCAGGAACAGAGCTCGGAGGTCCCTCTCAAGGGCAGGAAATGTGCCACCTGGGTCAGTACCCAATACTCCCAAATAGTGCTCTGTAAATATTCAATCAGTGAAAGAGGGAATGAGATGAGATGGTTCTCCTGGGAAAATATCAACATATTCATTTAAATTGGAAAATGAAGTCAGACTCCTTGTGAGAGGGAGTAAGTCTGACTTAGTGGGATGGATGGGCTTACCAATTAGGTCATCCAGGAGTGCATGGCCATCAACAGGACGAGCTCAGGCTGCATCTCTATGGTTTTGGTGAAATAATATTTAAAGGATAATTACCATTTATAATAAATCAGAATTCACATTTTTGTAACAGCTTGTGATTAAAAAAATTGGGGTTACCTAGGCTTACAAAAAACCACTACAGACCATTTATTTATTTTGAGACAGTGTCTTACTATGGAGTCCAAGCTGGCCTCCAACTCTATGTAGTGCAGGCTGGCCTTGAACTTCTGACCTTCCTGCCTCAACCTCTTGACTGGGATCACCATGGGTTTACCAACATGCAACACCACATCCATTTAAACCTGTTTCCTATTGCTGCTGTAACAAGTTACCACAAAGTGACTTAAGACAACACAGTATCTTCCAGTTCTAGAGATCAGAAGTCCAACATGTCTCACTGAAATCAAAATGGCTCTAGGGAATCCATTGTCTTGTCTTTTCCATTTTCTGGAAGCTGCCTGCCTTTGTTGGTTCATGTCCCTTCTGTCTGTCTGTCTCCAAAGCAGACTGGCCAGTTGAATCTTTCCTGTGATGCCATCTCTCTGATTCTAATGCTTCTGTTTCTCTGTCCCCATTTAACAACAGCCCTTGTGATTACACTGGGTCCCAGTAATTCCGAATAGTCTCTCCTATTTTAAGGTTGGCCGATTAGAAACCTTAATCCTTCCTTGCCAAATAACATCATAAATGACAGGCTCTGGGGACTAGATGTGCACATCTTGGGGGACCATTGTTTGCCCACACCAATATATTCTGCATCACCCTTATGGCGGGTTGTGACCAGCACACATGAAGTGAGATGAAGGATTACTTGAACACAGGAATCTGTGGAAGAGAAGCTGAGGGGGAACCAGCTGAAGACTAGCTCCTCTAATCAGCATGCCTTGCAGCTTTTATTGAGTACACCAAGTGGCTAAAAAATATTTTTGTGAACAATCAATCATATCCTGGGCGTCAGCAAGAAAGGGACGTAGCACAGCAGATTAAGATCAGAACAAAAGGGACAGAAAGAACAATTATTTTTAAGCAATGGTTCAGAGATCAAGAAACAGGCATGCCTTATCAAGATCAATTATTGAACAGATGCCTTCCTGGAGGAGGTGCCTTCACCTTTGTCCTCCTTGTTTACAATCTCTTTAACCATGCCTGAACCTCAACACCCTTGTAAGACACCCATTCGGCATCTGCACCAGGAGGACAATTCCCTTTTGAAATGCTCATTGGGTTTTCACATAGGTATAAAACCCATGTTCCTACATCCCAGATGAAGACAGGGAACATTCCTGCCACTCAAGAAAATCCCTGGTGCTGCTGACCAGTCAATACCCTCTTCAAGAAGTTACCACCCTGGTGACTCATTACCACACATCACTTTCACCAGCTCATGAACTTTGTATAAATGGAATTGTAGGACCTGCCCATGTTGTGCACGTGGTAGTAGCTTCTTTTTAAACTGCTGAGTAATATTCCACTGTATGACTGTATCACCCTTTGTTCATGGACCTGCTGCTGGTGCCTCTGGGTGCTACCTGGATTTGGTGACTCTGCTCCTGTCTTGGCTATGTGCCGCCATTTCTGAACACTGCCCAGTGGCCTCTTCTCTCCATGAGGCCTCATTCCATTCCATTCCATTGAGGCCATACACACAAAAAATAGGATTCTTCTTTTTAAAAATTTTTAAAATTATTGTTGTACAGGGGTACAATGTGACATTTACAAAAGTTCTTGCAATATGTCATAGTGAATTCAACCCCTTCATCATTCTCCTTTTCCCCTCTACTCCCATTCCCAGAATAATTTCAACAGATCTCATTTTTTTCCATTATGTACATGAGTATTTCCACCACATTCACCCTCCTTCACTCTTTCCTTATATCCTCCCCCTCCCACTGCTACCAACCCCCCAGACAGGGCCTGATTTACATTCCTGTGCTCTGTTTTGGAAACATTTCTGTTCTCTGTTCAAGATAGCTATACAGGGTATTTCACTGTGACATTTCAATGTATATATGTATTATAACTCGAATTGGTTCGTTCCCTCTATGTGTCTCCTAAGTTAGTTCACTTCTTATGGTGATTTGAACAGGTTTAAAAATTCTATATTCATTCTTCTTTAGAAAGTCCATCAACCATATTCACCTTCTTAACTTCCTTCTTTTACCCTCCCTCTCTCCTATGTGACCTCCCTAGGATTGTTATTCTTGACATCGATCCTTGAAATGTATTGAATCTATCCAGGCCACCACAACTGCTCTTCCGAAGACAAAAGTTCACTCTTTCCACCAACTGCTCCGATGTCCCAGTCTGCACACTGACACATCTCCATCAGCACTGTCAGGGCTGAATACAAAGCAGCAGCACCAGGAGCCACTGCCCCAACAGACATGAAACTGAGTAACTGGCTACCTATCCCAGTTATGGTAGGACTCAGAATTAATTTGCGGTCTCCTTCAAGCAAACACGCATTCCATAGCAGAACTTATGGAAATTGTCCTCGTCGCTGGCTTCATCCTATTTTTCCTATCTCCCTTCATTTCTAGCCCTTTTCCTTAAAGAACTGATGGCTTATTTATTTTTTTGGCGGTACTCAAGGCCTTGCACTTGCTAGGCAGGTGTTCTAGCACTTAAACCACTTAGCTAGTCCATTTTGTAGTTTACTCAGAAGCCAACTCAAAAATCCTTTGTTGGGGAATGCCAGGATGCCAAATGGCTAGTTTTTTGGCTAGCAAGCACCCCCTTTTAGCTTCAGAAAGGCCTACAGTGAAGTTTAAAAGGTAGATGCTACATTTTAAACTGTGGGGCTGCTACAGTGTAAACACCGGCCTTCATGCAACCAGGACCCGGGCCCAGGAGCTTAAGGGGTTTGACAGTCTCTGGTTTGGCAGTGCCTGGGGCAGAAACCAGAGTGTGAAGCTGGACCAGAAGCCACCAGACCCTCTTTCTCCAGGACCACCCAAGCCTAGACCAAAGGCTGATGCAGCGTCTCCCACACTGCACCGCGCGCCCAGCCCCAGCCCATACGATTGCACGTTGACCAGGATGCTCAACTGACCAGTCTGCATCCGGGCTGCGCAGGTCGGGGAGCCTGGTCTTCCTATTGGCTGGTTGCGTTATCTTTCCCACAGCACTTCAAGCTCTCATTGGTCAGTGCTGGGGCAGGGGAGGAGCGCTCCATGTGCTGTCAGGCACGTGCTTCCCACGCGGTGGGAGCGGGTCAGCGTGTAAAAGGACGCAGGCAGCACGAGATCGTGTCTAGCTATGGCTTCGCTGGCCAGCACCACTTCAGGCACGGACGATGGCGTCCGTAGGAAGCCTCGCCTGGCAGCCTCGCTACAGATCAACCCGGGTCCTTGGAGGCCCTCAGCCAGCCTGGGCCAAGACACCTGGGGGCCCCTGCCTGACCCCGGTGCAGAGGAGGACAGGGAGCGGAGAGAGCAGCCCAGGCCCCACTGGAGGCGGTGGCAGCGGCAGGGGATGGTGGGTCGGGGGCAGGCGCTGGAGTCGGGCAGCTCGGGGCAGTGTGGGCTCGGGAAGACCCTGGGGTGGCCGTGGGGAGGTCCTCGAGGGTCTCTGTCCCACCTGCAGGGCCTGCTGGGGACTTCCCGCCGGCTGTCCAGCAGCTGAGCCTGCCGCTCAGAGACCCGCCGCCTGGCCAGGCCGTAGCCTTGCTGGAGCAGTGCGCGGCCAGGCTGGGCCTCGCCCTCACCTTCCGCGAGGACCAGAAAGCAGGTAGGCCTGGGGCCTGGGACTGAGGACAGCTGGTGGGAGGGAGTCACCAGTCATCACGGCAGGGAAGGGGGTTCCGGAGGAGGCGAGCAGGGGTCTCCCTGTCCAGAACATAAGGCTGGTGGATGACTGGTTAGCCCTGGTGAATCAGGAGAGGGATGGGGAGCTGCACCTGAGACTAGGACCTTTCCAAGTAGATGATCTCCATCCTCACACCCTCCCCTGGCAGTGAGCAGGGTGAGCAGCCTGTGTTTAAGGGCACCAGCGCCACCAGACATCTGCCAGGTCATGGTGAGGCCAATGTTATCCCCACCTGGTCTGGGAGGCAGGTGGGACATGCTTGTAATCCTAGCCTTTGGGAGGCTGAGACAGGAGAATCATGAGTTCAAGTCTGGTCTGGGTTACAAAGCGAGACCCTGTCTTAAAAAACTGAAAACCAAACCTAAGTCAGAACCAAAAAACCCACCTGTTGCCCATGAGGGTGAAGGGATATACTCCAAGCTACTGGGTCTTTCTGACCACTTTTTTTTAAAAGGCCAATTACATGTATTTAAGGTTGCCAGGCCAGTGTTGGAGATTCCTGAAGGTGGGGCGGCTCCTGACACAGAGACATGATTAAACACAATTCGTAAGAGAAATAGTAAGGCATGTCAGATGTCTAACCATCACCATACCCTATATCCTTTCCTTTTCCTCAATACACCCACCCCTAACTCAAGCAGAATTTTAATGTGGAGGTTGATTGCAGGCACATGCACCTTACCCCTAAACACGTTAGTGTGTACTTCTTAAGAACAGGGTCATCCCTTATGAAGTAGGATGGTCAAATTCTGGAGATTCAGTACTGATATGGTTCCATCATCTAATTACCATTTGCTGTTTTTTTCCATCCCAGTATGACATTACAATCAGCTGGCACCTCCCCCCTTGTTCTCTCTCTCTCTGCCTCTCTCCCTTCTGCTCTTCCCCCCCCTTTCCAACTCTCCCCTCCTCTTCTCTCAGACAGGGTCTCACACATAGCCCAGGCTGGCCTCAAGCTAGCAATCCTCTTGCTTCAGCCATCTAAGTGCTGGGATTACCGATGTGTTGACACCACCCCTGGCCTGTCACACCTCTTTAATCTCCTTTTGTCTGAAACATCGTTCTTCGTCTTACGTGACATTGATGTTTTGAAGAGTTAGGGCCGGTCATCTTGTACACTGTCCTTCCAACTTGGACAGGGTCTTCTTAGGATTGGATTCATGCCCTGCATTATCAGAGTGACGTCACATTTTTGGCAGTGTGTCCCATCAGCAGGTGTGTGAAGGCAATACTCTGCCTTCATTGTAGTGTCACCTTGTGGTTTTAGCACCCATCCATGATTTTGCTAGATTTGGTTATTGCTATGACTGCTGACATTGCTTCTCCATGCATCTACACTCACTGCTTTTGGTGCCTTTTTAGGGGTGCATCTCAGTGCTAATGCTGAGTGCTAAGGCAGGTTCCCTTCCAAAAGGGCAGTCCTACTGAGAAATGACTAGAATGAGCATTGTGAATTTAAATCAGTTCCTACCCTTGACCAGGTGATCCCAGTTCTAGAATTTTCATTTGTCTCTTCTGTGATATAAGTAACACCCGAAATGATTGCAGTGACTAGAAAAACCTTTCAAATGTAGGGTCCCTGGAGGAGAAGAGAAAAGAAAAGTTCATGTCTCCTGGCAGGCAGGAAGCCATCCTGTGCGCTCAAGGGCCTTCATCCCGAGAACAGTGTAGCGTGGCTCTGGAGATGGTTAGGATCTGGGTCCTGCCTCACCTGTGTCAACCACCTATTCTTTCTGCACCTCACCTGTGCAGTAGAGCCACCCACACCTGTTTCAGAGGGGGCTGGCGAGAACTGGCTGAGTTGATTATGGGGCACAGAGTGCAAGGACACATGGGGTGCTTAGTGTAAATGGAGTCCCCACTTAGGGAGGGGCTGGGGTCTCCATGTTATTCGGGATGTCTTCCGTGTCAGGTGTCAGCAGGAAGCCTAGGTAAGAGAGGCTGTCTTCCCACAGCTGAGAAGGGGCGGGGTGGCTAGGTGTGGTCTTCCCCTTCTAGAAAGGGCCTGGGGCTCCTTCCTCCTCCCTCCTTCCAGGTCCCTGTTTTCCCTTCTCTACGTGCGTGGAACTGGATGGGGTGGTCTGCCCTGTAGGCACCGCAAGCAGCAAGACAGAGGCCAAACAGCAGGCGGCACTCTCTGCCCTCCGCTACATCAAGAGTCAGCTAGAGAGCCCAGGTACCTGAGCCCCAGCTGGGGCAAAAGAGATCAAGGTTTGCAGCTTTTTGTGGGGGTGCTGAAGTGGCTCTGGGGTATGTGTGGGTGAGCGCGGGTTGCAGCAAGGACTGTCTGGACATCTGCCTGGAGAAGAGTGCTGACCCTGCTTTGATGTACTTTGAAGTTCTGCCAACCCTGGAGGAAGGGACCACTAGAGAGCAGCTCGTGGGCTCTTCTAGGTCTGGAAGGTGGAACCTTTGTCTCCTTGCCTTCTTGGCATCCCAGAGGTTGGGAGAGTAGACCCAGCAGCCATGGGAACAGGCTCCCCTTGCCTGTCTTTCAGAGCCCCCTGGGACCCCAGCCCGCTTCCACTCACCTCCCCGAGTGTAGGTAAGTGGGCTCTTGGCCTAAGCCCCAGCACTGAGGGGAGAGGCATGGCTTTGGGTGCCACTGAAGCCCTCTGGCCCTTGTGCAGAGAACATCCTGACCCACGAGCAGCGCTGTGCGGCTGTCGTCAGTGCCGGGTTGGATCGCCTGCTGGATGAGGACTCGCCATACCAGGCCTGCAAGGGGACTGTGGCTGCAGTCATCCTGGAGAGGGGTAGGGATTGCGCTGTCTCTGCCCACCTCTGCTGGCCTCCTTAGGCCCTTGTCTACCACTGACCCTTTTTTGCCCTCCATGCACAGAGATCCCAGGCTCCAGGGGCCACACCAAGGAGACCTATGAGCTGGTGGCACTGGGGACAGGCAACGGCAGCTGTGCTGGCTGGCTGGAGTTCTCAGGCCGGCAGCTTCATGACTGCCATGGTCTGGTCATTGCCCGCAGGGCCCTGCTGAGGTGAGGGGCAGGCAGGTGGGCTGTGTTGCAGCAGAGCCAGGACAATGGCCCCAGCCCCTCTCTGCCTGTTGCTCTCAGGTTCTTCTTCCGGCAGCTCCTGCTAGCCACTCAGGGAGGTCCCAAGGGCAAGGAGCGGTCCGTGTTGGTCCCCAGCCTGGGCCCGGACCCCCTTTGCCCTCAAGCCCCAGATCTTCTTGCACCTGTACGTCAGCAACACTCCCAAGGGAGCGGCCCACGATGTCTAGTATGTGGGGCTCCCCAAACTGTCTGGTCGGGGGGACCAAGGTCAAAAGAGTGCCGCTCACTCTGGGTCCCTGTTGTGCTCCCCCAGCCTGCCGTTGTCCTCGGAGGACAGTGTTCTGAATAACCCGGCCTTCCGCCTGCAGGCCCACGTCTGTGGGCAGCTGAAGCCGGTGTCCTATGTGGCCCCTGCCCTCCGCGACACCCACGTGGGCTGCCTGTCAGCCAGTGACAAACTGGCGCGCTGGGCTGTGCTGGGGCTGGGTGGTGCACTGCTTGCTCACTTCCTGCCACCACTCTATGCCACCAGCCTCGTCCTGGGTAAGGAACCAGGGGATCAGTGGGAGTGGGCTGTGGGTGGGGATATGGAGTGTGGAGGAGACTCAGGCCATGCCCTGTGCCTTCTTCCCCGCAGCTGACCCCTGCCATGACCCCCCTACACTGAGAAGGGTCATTCATGCCCGGCCCAGCCTAGACAGTGCCTTGGGGTCGTGCCTGCCCCCTCCTTACGTCCGCACCAACCTACACCTGTTTTCAGGGCCCCCAGTGGCCCCCTCCAGCCCTGTCCCCAGCACCTGCCAGGGTCTCAGCCTCAACTGGAGCCTGGGAGACCCTGACATTGAAGTTGTGGATGTGGCCACCGGGCGTGTAAAGGCCAAGTGAGAAGGGGTCCTCTGGGGCTAGGCTGGTGAGAGGGCTTGGTGGCAGGGGATCCTGCCTGTGATCGGCATGAAAGACTGAATGGTGGGGCAGGCCAGCAGGTTTGTCCTTGCCCTCTGATCTCTCTGTGTCTCTTATCCATCCCAGCGCTGCCCTTGGGCCTCCTTCACGCCTCTGTAAGGCTGCCTTTCTGGGGGCCTTTCGCCAGGTTGCCCGTGCTCTGGGGAAGCCACACCTCCTGGCCCTGCAGACCTATGAGGCTGCCAAGGTTGGTCCATTCTCCCTCCATGACCCCTTTTCCAGGTCCTCCCATCCCTAGCACGTGGCCTTGCTCACCCCCTCCACCCCTGCTGTCTCCCTCCAGGCCGGACCCTACCAGGAGGCTCGTCAGCAGCTGTCTCTCCTTTTGGACCAGCAGGGCCTGGGAGCTTGGCCCTCAAAGCCACTTGTGGGCAAGTTCAGGAACTGAGCCCTGCTGCCAGAGGCCAGAGGTCCCCAGCAAGTTGGCCCCTATCACAGGGAGGCCCACTGGGATCTGGGGGAGGGGGGTGCAAGATGAAGACTGGGGGGGGTTCCCCTGAAGTGTTTGAGTGCTGGGGGCTGTTGCATGTCAGCTTGAATAAAGAAGCAGTTTCTTGTGGTTTGTGTTTGTTTTTGTGTGTGTGTGTGTGTGTGTGTGTGTGTTGGGAGTAACCGGGAGCTGGTGTGTTTGTGAGGAGAGCCCATTGCCCCATTTGGCATGTGCTGGGCCCTCACCTGGATCTTCTTCAGAATTATTGACCTGACCCCCAGCCCTCCTGTCTGTGTGCTATGGAAGCTGTGTCCCTTCCCTCCATGTGGAGGCTCCAGATCCTCCCTCCATGTGGAGGCTCCAGATCCCCACTCCGGGGTTTGGTCCTGGAGTGGCACTGGGAAGGCACAGCCCATGATGACTGGTTGGAGACTTCAGCTGTGCTGACCTAAGGAGGATGTCCGGGTGAGCACCTGGGTCGGAGGGCACAGGGCGGTGGTGGACACCGCAGTCCTTGCTCCCTGCAGGTGGCTGTTGAGACTGGGAAGGTCCTCTGACTACTGGAGCCTTCCCGCCCCCATGGTGGAGAGGGACAGTGCCACTGCTTCTCTATGCACCTTCCTCCCGTCCCTCTGGTGTGGCAGAGTGGGCGGAGTGCATGCTCTGCAGACCCAGTACCTTGTATTGGGCACCACAGCTTTGACATCTGGGGACCCAGGATTCGCCCCGTGACTCGAGACCATGGTTCAAGGCTTCCCACATCCCCAGTAGTTTCAGGGGTCAGCACCACAGCTGCCATCATAGATGTGCCTTGGAGAGCAGGCCAAGGATGTATGATTTAATTTTATGTGTCAACTGGACTGGGACACATAAAATTAAACTGGACATCCCCACACTTCCTTGGTGTGCCTGAGGCATTTCCAGCAGATAGCAGTGTTTGAATCAGTAGGTGGGTGAGGGAGATGGTTCTCCCCAGTGTGGGCCAGAACCACCCAGTCCACTGAGGACCAAGTGAGGACATCAGAGCTCCTGGTTCTCAGGCCCTGATGCTCCAACCAGGACTTTCACTTTCAGTCTCCTGCTTCTTAGACCTTTGGGTTTGGACTGTATGTCACCAGCTTTCCTGGGCCTTTGGCGTTCAGACAGCAAGAAGGTAGGACTCCTCCCTTATAATACCTGCTTCTGTGTCTGTGTCCAGTCAGTCTGTTTCCCTGAGAACTTCAACTAATGCAGACAGCCCCCTCCCGAGCTCCTGTACTGGGCCAGGCTGGTCTTGATATAGGAACCTGGAGACTGAGTCCTTCCCTCCAGCTGTCCCTGCCACTGGGGGTGTGGCTGTGGCCTGCCATCTGGCCCCATGCACACTGGTAGGCTCCCCCAGAGTGGTGCAGCAGCCTTTGTACACACGGGTCCCATATCCCTAGTCAACAGTGGTGGGTTGACAATACTAAAAAATACTAGTTCTGAACTAGTATGAACTTTGCCCTCTTGTCATTCCTGGAACAGTGCATTGGAACAGCTACTTGAATAGCATTGACATCACATCCAGTCTTGTGCGTAACCTGGGAGGATTTAAAGTACACAGGATACATTTGATGTAAATTCTGTGCCATTTTATACATGGGACTTGAGTGTCCCTGGATTTTGGTATTCTCGGGGATCCTGGAACCACTACCCTATGGTTGGAGACCCTGCCCAACAGATCTGTTCCGGCAGCTGCTCCCTTGGCTTGTCCAGGGCCTGCTCTCCCTTTTGCTACCGCTGCTCATGTGGGGGAAATCAGGAGTGGGAGAGGGTGAGGGCCCAGCAGGCCCAGCTAGTCCAGCTGACAGCTCTCCACAGGCTGCTAAATTCAACCTTCTGCCACCTCTGCACAATGCATGTGACCATCACAGCATGCAGGTGGAAACTGCAGGGTGAGGCTGGAAGCCTTCTGGAAGAACACCTGACCTGAGCTCTCCTATCTCAGTTGCTGCCCAGGGCAGCTGCTGGGTTCCCTCTGGTTACCTGGGGAGAAACTCAACCCTTCCTAGCCCAATTTGCTGACTTACAAAAGGAGGACTGGGGTATGTGATGGCTGAGTTCCTTCCTGGCCTAGCTGTCCCTGCTCTGCCCTCTCCCGACTGCTGTAAGTCAGAAAGAGCCAGTTCTGGAAGGAATCATAGGTCTGTCAGGGATAGCAGGGTGAACAAATGGCCAAAGGGAGGGCAGGAAAGGAGAATCAGTGGAAGGAACACCAAAAGAGGGGAGCGAGGATTCAGGAGCACACAGGGGCTGAGGGAAGGGTATGAGGCAGGCAAAAGCTGGTAAGCACTGATTCCTTGTTTAATGAGAAAACAGCTCCACTGTTTACTTTTAAATAAGTACTGTTCAAGCAAATCAAGTACCTCTGAAATAATCACTTTCCATGGGTATAATTTTTCAGGGATGCAAAGGGGTTTCTGAAACACCCAAGCCTATTAATTAGTCCACTTTTATTACACATTGTTTATCCCGGGAGATAATGAAATCGATTGACTATTTGTACTGAGATGGTGACTTCAGCCAGGTCCAGAAGTGCACCAGCCATTTTGGCTTGTTTTACAGCCCGAGCCCATGGTGCTCATTAATCACATTATCCCCAGGTAAACAAGTTATTTAAAATGACATTAACTGCTGTGTTCTGCCAAACAAGTACTATTTGTCCTAGCTGCATCTATCTGCCTGTCCAATCTCCTCCCGCCGTCTGTCTCTCGGCATTATTCGCCTGGTTCCTTTGACTCAGCTATTTATTATTGCAGGGTGATGGTGAATGCCACTTTTGAATGGAGAGTCTGTTCATGTCTTTTTGGCTAATCCCTGGGGAAGTTGCCAACTGTAGCATATTTAAATTAGGAAGTGATGGAATCTAGCTGGCTCACTCTATGCTGCTCCCTTGGAGTGCCTCCCCCCACTTCTAGCTTCCATCCTCCACAGCCCTGGGCTCCCAGAAGCTTTGCTGGACCCTGGGCACCCTTTGCACCCTGCTGCCCCAGCATAGTCCTCTTGGGGTGGAGGACAGTGAGTGGAAGTGGCACCTGGGAAGCCAGTCCTCAGTTTACCCACCTGGCAGGCAAGAGTTAGTCACAAACATGCAGACTGCAGGCTTCAGGGGGCAGTGGCTTTTGTCAGGCCCCCTCTTGGGTCTCCTGCATGGAGGTACCCAACAGACAAGTGCTGGGTGGACAGGAAACAAACTGCAGGGTCTCCTTACAGAAGTGCAGAAACTTCCAAAACAGGACTTGAAGACATATTGAAAAGTTCCCTTGTGAAAAAGCTCCCAATTCACAAAACAGAGAAGTTCCCTTGAGTAGAAGCAAAGGTCCTGTTCTGTGAATTGTCAGCCTGCTCCACGGCCCAGGGTGAAATCAGCATTTAAATACATAAAATATGGTTTTAAAAGATATTTAAAAAAATATATATATATATATAGGGTAGGCACACAGAGTTGAATGAGGATGGGTCCTTATGTCCCATACAGAAAAGTTAGCTGGAATCTGTGCCTAGACCTAACATCAGGGTTATGACAGTAGAACTTCATGGCCTTGAGCTAGGTGAAGCTTTGAAAGAAAAAAAAAAAAAAGAAGAGGTACTCCACAGACATGAAAAGCCTTTGTGCTTCAGAGGGTCAGGAAAGTAAATGCTCAGACTGGGGAATGTATTTGCAAGTCATCTATCTGATAAGGGGCTTGTATTTACAATATGTAAAAACCTCTTACCAATCAATGACAGACAACACCATTAGTGAGCAAAGGGTCTGAATAAACATTTCTCCCAAGACCTTGAATGGCCAAGAAGTGGTGCAGAGATGCTGTTGGTAGCTAACCACCAGGGAAACGCAAATCCAAACCTGCAGGAAGTACCACCCAGTCCACAGCAGGCTCCAGTGAAAAAGAGCAGCAAGCAGAATGCAGAACCTTCTCACCCTGCTGCTGGCCGTGTGAAACAATGTAGCCACTGTGGGAAATTGCTAAATGTAGAATTACCATAAGACCCAGCAATTCCTGACAGAGTACAACATATCCATACAAAAATGTATGGCAGCCACATAGCATCCCCAAAGAGGAAACAGGCCAAGCGCCTACTGACCAATGAATGGCTAACCAAAATGTGGTGTGTGAATACTGTGGAAGTCTCCAGGCATTTATAAAAGGACAACCCATCCCAAGGTCTTTACACAAAGCAAACAGTCCACTGCCTGCAGCAGGTGTGGGCGCGGGAAGACAAGGAGTAAGGACCTGGGTGGGGCTTGGGAGGTTGTGGTTCTGTGTGAACCAGGGTATGTGCTAATGCACTTTGCTTGGGGGGGGGTCTTAGCTAGAGGGCCAGCAGCAATGTGCTTCCTAATGCACTGTGGGAGCAGACTTGCCTCTTGAGGCAGATGAGCCAGGTGGCCAAAGACTCTCAGCACTGCCAGGACTGCAGGCCAGGGCGGGCACAGGAACAAGAACAAGACCCCTGTGGGCTCTGATGCTGGTTTTCCCAGGAGCCACATGGTCCCTAAGCATGGTGGCTGGAGGAGCCAGATGCCTGATGTGTACAAATGTCCTTGGGCTTCAGTCAGCGGTGCAGGTGGCACCCCTTGCTCCCTGTGTGTGGGGGCAGCAGGTGGATCTCAGGACAGCGTCATGCTCTTCTGTAAAGTGTCTAAGAGTAAACGCTTCCAGCCTGTGGGCCACACAGTCTCTGTTTGCTACTCAACTCTGCTATAGCTGTGCAAAGGCTGCTGTAGACACTACCTGAGTCAGTGGGCCTAGCTGTGTTTCATTAAAACTTTATCTGCAAAATCAGGCTGCAGGCCTGACATAGCTGGCTGACCCTAACCTTAGTTTGGGCTATGGGGCATTTTTAGAGGAACCTTTCACATTGGGCAGCAGGCGGGGGCTGGACAGCATAGAGAACATGTAGGAGGCATTTGTGGCTGACCTGGCACTGCCCTG